CTTTAAAAAAAAATTACGCAACATCAATTTTAGTTAAAAAAAAAAGCCAACCCGAAAATCTTCAGAAACAAAACCCCAATGCTAATTTCTCCTCTAGTATTTTAAATATATTCAAATTTTAAATCCAAACAATGCTAAACATGTTTCAACTGCACAGCTGAAAAAACCCTCATTATGTCACTTTATTCACTTGATATTATTAAAGTAATTTTCAGTATTGTGCCTTTATTATCATTGCAGAAGTTACTCTTAGAAGGAACACAATACATGCAAACATACACCTGTATCAGCTTTCCCTCAAATTTACTAAGTCATACACTTCTTGATTCTTAAGCAACATAAAGCAAAAATTATTTCTTGAACTGTTGCTAGTCACTGCCACTGGCTGCAACAGCTATTTTTATAAGAAGCAGCTCCAGGCAAAAGAGTGTGTGCCCACCAATGCAGCAGAATCCTCCTGAACAGTGAGCCCCTTGCATGAACAAGCATCTACTCAAAGGAATCACTACTCAGAAATTCCCAAACTACTTTAATATAAGAAACTACACTTCAATTTCTGCATTTCTCTCTGCTTCTGAGTTCCTGAGCCCACATTCACAGCACAGCTGTGTCCCAATACCACACCAAGGTGAAATCCACCAGCTTCCACCCATGCTCTTGTTTTCACAAGAGGAAAAACCTTGATTACAGGAGCCATTTGGCTCTGACTGAGAAAACTTGAAGACCTCAGGCCAGTCACAGGTAAACTCTGCACAAACACAGAGCAAAACTAACCATTTTGGAACAGAAGAATCATAAGGTTCCTTTGTTTGCCACTTATGAAACGCTACCAAGAATTCCCTAGGGACTTAACACTGTGAAATCCATACAGCTACATTTAGAAGAAACACGTTCTCAGCTGAGAATACACTGAGCAGAAGTTCAGCAGTAAACTTTAGAAAAACAAAGATGGTAATGATGTTCCATAGAAGCACTGTTATAAAGTATGTTTGAACAGCAGCACAGTTCTGCCCCTTTAGAGAGTTTGCTTTAGGATCTAAGAACAGTTCTGGTAATAAAGGGAGTCTTGTGTTTGTCTGTAACCTGTTGAGAAAAGCTTATCAGAAGGGCACAGACACAGGAGATGCACAAATCAGGTGCTTCAGGAATGGGGTTAGACATTCTCCCATAGAACAGATATACATTCTTGCACACATTCTCCCTAGAAAAAATTCTGTCCAAGGAGGATGAGTACATCAAAAAGGAGCAGCATGACGTACTTTCATGATGTACTTGGGATTTGGAAATAATGCAATGAGAAGTACCTCATGAAATTCCTATTTTTCCAAATGGAAAAATATAACTTCTTTCTATGACAGTTTTAATAACTCAAAGAGCTTAGTGCTTCCAAATTTTTCCAAGAAAGGTTACTGAGTGCCCTAAGATCACATCATAATTCAGCATGGTAAGTTCTCTCTCTCGAAAAGATTTTCAGAGATTTTGCATAAAACAAAAATGAGATGGCTGAAAAAATTCACTCTGATTCTCAGTCAAAAGGTTACACTAATAAGCTCATATCTCCTTATATTAACAGTATTTAGAGTATTTGGACCACAACAGTATCTTTTATCCAGGTAATTTTGTGTACATATTACCACTTTATCGCAAGGTTGAATTCATTAAAATTTATTCTCTATTTTTTTAGATGATCTTCAGAAGACTACTAAAATAAGCTTTTCAGTCACACAATTCCTACAATAGCATTACCTGTTACTGTAACATCATCAGCTACAACAGCAAAAGGTAAAAAAAAAGTATTTTGCTTCTGAAGGGCACAAGCAGCCTTTAAGTATCACTTTAAAAAAAATTACTCACTCGTTCTGGTTTTTTTCTGATCCAGTTCTTTTTCAGGAGAAGAACAAGGAGGCAATATTGCATTTTGTTCTTTAAAGATCAGTGGAGTTGATGCCAGCTGAGTGTATGTAGATGGTTTTGTCCTTGGAGTTTTAAAGGATGTTTGATCAAGCCAGCCAGAGGGAGCATCAAGCTCTCCAAACACTTTAGGTTCATATGGTGGTGCTTCTGTGCTGAGTTCTTCAAACCAGTTGAGGCTGATGGGCCCTAAATCTATGAAGAAAAACATACAGAAAACCATATGAAATGAAAAAAAGATTCTATGTGCAGGATTTGAAAATACATTAGGCATTTAAATGCTAACAGAAAAACACATTGCTCCTTCCATTGCCATACTTCTGTTTATATTGTTTCTACAAGGCTTTGAACTCTGATACCCACAAAACATGTAAGAATGTCTAACCAATTTCTCAGACAATTAACAAAACTAACCAAAGAGCACAAAAACATCCAGATTTTTTTTAAATTATAAGTATACTCTTAGTGTCTTTCTTATTTTGCTCAGACTGGCAAGTTAAACAGGTTCCTTTTAACATTAGCAACTCATTAATAATTACAACAGGTGCATTTGGCAAAAAACTAAACCTGATCTGCATGTGGATATATATAGACATAGCGGCTAAAAAAGCAAGTACAAAAACTAGCTAAGCACATGTCATGAAAAAAAACTACGAATAAAAATTTAAAGAAATCTACAAAATGCAGATATTAGCAAATACAGATTAGGGGCCAGAGCAGCAGCTAACAAGTTGCATGATGCTTTCCTACTGAACATACAGCAACCCTAATAAAAATTATTTACTTTGGAGAAACTGTACCTGATTCACTGCAATGGGCCTTAAATATTTCAAAAAAAGTTGGTCTTTCCACAGGTTTGTAAGCCATTTTCTTATCCATAACATTACTGAAACAGCTGTTGAAAAGCCTGAGAAGAAATAAGAAAACACTTTCATACACTGCTGTTCCAGTGTGGCACTGCAAGTCCTAAACCTGCCTTCTTGCATTTCTTGGTGTGTCATTACCCAGCTTACTTAGCCTTAAGACTGTGATGTGAGTGTTCAAACACCACAATGATTAACATGGTGCAAAAAAAGCAGACAAGAGGAGCAGAGAGAAATATACTGGAGATTATAAAAATACTCAGCAAATACAGGAGAAAACCAAGATGGAAAAGGCAGAACACTTTTGAGGCGTTTTAAAAACAAATCAAAACTCCACACTCACTACTATAGGCTGGGGTGGAATATATATTATCACATATATACTCTTACAACCGTTATATAACTTATGTGTCAAGAATTTGATTCAAAGTTGTTTTCAAGTGGAGCAGACATTGCCAGTTTCACAATTTTGTTAAAAAACAGGTATAAATAAGACTGAGGTAGGACTTCACCGTTTAGTACGTTTATTGCTTCGACAGTAAAATCAGTTTCCCTGGCGATGATCGCGTTACACGCGCTGCCTAACCAAAACCATGGGAAAGCAGGGCATTTTAAAACAGGGTAAGGGCTACCCTGAGATAGAAAACCAAAGAAATTAAACACTGTCTCAGAAGCACATTTGACCTGTCCACGTTGCTCCCGGTGAGGGAAAGCTCCTCCCGGGCAATGACCCAAGCACGGAGCGCGGCCTGTGCAACCGCCCCCGGGTCTCCGTGGGGCCTCAGGGGATGAGCCCGGTCACCGGACACCCCCTTCCACACCCGCGGTGACCGCAAACCCCCGGCGGGCTGTGAGGAGAGGGGAGGGACTCCGGTGGAGCAGCGGGGACACCGCGGGGCAGGGCCGAGCCACACGCGGGGCCGTTACCTGCCGGCGGCCCCTCGGGCGGGGCGGTGGCCGCAGCATCGCCTCACGCAGGGACGGGGGGCAGAGGAGGGGACGGGAACAACCCCCACCCCGCCGCCCCGTTCGAAGCTTGGCGCCAACACCCCCCCCCGCGCCTGCGCACCGGGAGCATCCGCCGCTCCCGCCCCCCTCCGCATCCACCTCACGGGAAGGAGGCGGCGAACCAGCCCCGCCTCTCCTGCACGGCGGGGGACTGGCAGGACGCGGTGCGGAGGACTCGTGGCCCCTCAGGGGACCGACGGTGAGCGACGTCCCTCAGGGGCTGGCTCCGCACAGCACACAAAGGGAGCGTGTCCTGAGCTAGGGTGGCAGCCAGCAGCTTCACTCAGCGTCCTAGAGACGCGAGAAATGAAATACCACATCCTGCTGTACAACAGCAGGACCCATCCTGCTGTGCAACAGCAGCTAACACCGACCTCCCGGGAAAAGGCTCCGGGGGGCTCACCGTAAGTGGCAGTGCCATCACGGAGTGTCATGGCCTGTGCAAACCTTAGCTTTTCAGATGGTTTTGTAGGCCTTGACACGTGAAATTATCGTCACGGTTGTTGATGTTACAGTAGAGAATGTTATCCTCCACATACATGGCCATTTCCATTTTGTCTCTTAGCTTCATCAGTGAGTCCATGCAAGCTGGCTGTAACATTCTTGTCACCAACTTTGAGTTAGCCGTCTATTTTAGCTGGATGTTCATCTACGCTGGTCTCATAAAGGGGTTTCTTCCTACCTCTCTCTACCAGTCCTTATTTTACACAGTTTTATCACATCATCTCCTTACTCATCTGTCACTTTCTTCGGGTTCTTGTCATACAATAATTTTCCATACCCCTTCTCCTTCCAACAATTTTAACTTGTAAACTTTCAGTGTTGTGGGGAGTTGCAGTAACTAGTTCTTCCCAAAGCATTTTAGAGGAAGCCAAACCTTTGCTTTGAATGACAGAGTGTAGTTTCCAATTTAATCTCCATTCCCCTTCCCAATGCACCCTAACAATTTACTCTTTTTGCAGCCACAGTGCAGTCATTAAGTTTTAACTTGGCCATCTTGATACTCTCTTTTTGCTTTGATTAATACCAACAGCGCTTTGAAAGCCCAAGCACAATGTGGAGCCTTGAGACATTTTCCTTTTAATTATGATGAATGTGTTTCCTGAGTCTTAACCTCTTTCTGTCTTATAAAAATGCTGTTACTTACTGATTTATTTCAGACACTTGAATGGTCTTTCTCAAATGCACTGTGAACATTTAAAGACATCATCCCTACCAGCTCTTCTATAGCCCCTCTCTTGCTGGCCCCTTGAAGTTTATAAAGCAATGCATTTATAAAGATGGTGAGGAATCATACAAAGAAAGTATTTCACATCACAGCAGTTCCAGGGATTTGAGGATTCTGCAGTCCTTAAAGGCTCCGTACAGAGTTTGGATGATTGAATTATATGATTTTAACTATATTACCTTAGAATTGAACTAAATTGATGTAATTATGGAAGTCTAATGTGTAAGTGCTTGTATTACTAACACTTATTTACTTACACAGGTATTAAGCCACTGTTCCCAGTATAACTGTTTCCCCTTACTTCAGTTTTTATACACAAGTATAGTCTTATCTTTTCCTAAAGCAGTTCAGTTGATAGAAAAGCTCCAGGTAGCTAATACCCGAGTAATGGAACAATGGGGATACTCAGACCTTTTAATACCGGTAAAGACTTCTCAGAGATGCAATTTCCTGCGTCCTCTCCTCAGCTCTCTGTGGGACACCCAGTTAATCTGGGCTTTGTCAGTTTCCCAAACCCCGTTTTTCTTCTTTTAAAACGATGATCAGAATGAGCTGAAAGCGAGCAGGCTTTCCCTCACTATGAAGGCCATGGTTGCCCCAGCTGTGGCTGAATTACATCTATTCATCATTACAGGGCAAGGCAAGCCTTGCCATCAGCCCTCCCTCCCCCAGCTGATCCCAATTTCCGTATCAATTAGCAACCATTAACTCCCCAGATAAGATAAAGGCGGGACAGGACAATAGGCAGGCCTAACCTTTCTAGGGCTATGATTATGGAGAGCTTTGTCTGTTCCCCCTTCAGCACGTACCAGGGCTTCAGGGGCAGCCCCGCGCCCGGCCGCGGCCAGGACCCGTCGGCTAAGCAGCCCAGCTGGAAGCAGAGCAAGAGCGGCGGCATCAGCCCGTTCCTCGGGGGGCCCCTCACGCCGCTGCCCTCCGAGTACCTGGACAGCTACCGGCGGGCGCAGCTGCAGGCGCTGCTCTCGCAGGTGAGCCCCGGGCTGGCGCCGCTGCCGCGCCGGGCCAGCACGAAGGAGGCTGCGGTGCAGGTGAGCCTGCGGGCCGACAAGGCCGTGCAGTGCTCGCTGGGGCCACGCACGCTGCCGCCCGCCCGCGCCTTCGGTTCCGCCGCCCTGCGCGCCCCGGGGCGCCTCGCCGTCTACTCGCCCGCGCCCGACCGCCGCCCCTTCGCGTTGCCCGAGGCCAAGGCGTCCCCGAAGAAGGCAGCGCCGTCGCTAGCGCCGGCCCAGGAGACACCCACGGCGGCGGACAGCAGAGAGAAGCAGGAGAAGGGCTCGGCGGGGCCTGCGCTGGGGACGCGGCGGAAGGAGAACGCGGCTCCTGGACAGCAAGCGACTTTCCAGGTGCGCGGAGATAGGGCTTGGCGCTGCCCACGGGGGGCCAACCCTGAAGAAGGGGGGCCAGAAATCCCCTCTTGAGCAGCACGGTGGTCCCCGGGCAGGCTTTATTTCCCCAGCAGCAGCAGAGCCTCCAGCCTTTGAAAACCCACAGGGGTGTATCATAGCACCACAAAACGGTTTGGGTTGGAAGGGCCTTAAAGATTACCCAGTTCCAGCCCCCTTGCCGCGGGCAGGGATGCCACCCACTAGATCATGTTGTTCAGAGTCTCATCCAACATGGCTTTGAACACTTCCAGCAATGGGGCGTCCATGACTTTTATGGGCAGCCTGTTTCAATGTCTCCCCACCCTCAGGGAGTAGTAACAAGGGAGCTGAGCTGGGTGTTCTTGGGGTGCTGGAGGATGCTCAGTATACTCTGTCTCTGCAGTTCTTGGAGCAGAAGTATGGCTATTTCCACTGCAAAGACTGCAAGACCAGATGGGAGAGTGCTTATGTGTGGTGCATTTCTGGAAGCAACAAGGTAGTTAACGAAGTCATTTTCTTTTGTTCCTGAAACGTGTAAGAATGGCACCAAATCTGGTGTTTTGGTGCAAATTTAGGTACCTGTACTTAACACCTTGAATAAGTTGCTATAGTAACTGAAAACTTGCCTTCTTTTCAGGTGTACTTCAAGCAGCTGTGTCGAAAATGCCAAAAGGGTTTCAATCCCTATCGAGTGGAAGCAATCCAGTGCCAGGTAAGTTAACATATGGCAGGATACAGTTGTTATATGCTCTAATAGTTAACAGTTGTTGAACTTGATATTGACTTTATCTGGAAGAAAAACTTGATTTCATCAAAATACTAGGAAATGTTATTTGGAAAAAGTGTGATGGGTATGCCTCCCTCCTCCTGTGGATGGCTTACATGAACACTTTTCTGTTCATACAGCATTATGGCTACCGACAGATAGGGTAGGGTTTTGTTCTTCTAGGTGAGAAGGTTCTTACAGCTTAATTCCGCAGGGTTTTTATCACAAGAGCTCTTAAGTCTATCAGTCCAAATGTGTTACTATGATTAAGGAAAACTAAATGTCAGTCTGTTAGCACAGGCATGAAGGTAAGCACCTTTAATCCACTTCCAATAACATGTCTTGTTTCTTAAGATCTGTTCAAGGACTCGTTGCTCCTGCCCTCAGAAGAAAAGACACATTGATCTCAAGAGACCACATCGCCAAGAACTTTGTGGCCGCTGCAAAGGGAAGAGGCTATCCTGTGATAACACTTACAGCTTCAAATACATTCTCTGATCTGTGTACCCTCTTCTGTTTTGTGCTTTGCACTTTGTCAGTCTTTTGCAGTGTTTTGACTTAAGGCTTTTGACCTGGCATTGGATAATGGACAAAGACATTTGTATTATTTATAAAGTATGTAACTTCACTGTATATATGCTGTAAATAAAGTTGAAGAAAAGTTTGCACTAGTTTGATAGCCCTTAGTTTCATCTTGCTTAGATGAAAGAGGAAAATATATCTGGAAGGAAAAAACCTATTTGATTTCCTGAAAAAAGTAGACTTTGTTTTTAGTCTGCCTTGAAGGAATGTTAAGATGAAAGCTGCAAGAGCAAGTTTTTCCTTCAGTCACTCCAACTGAACTAGGATGGAACATGCAAATGTTCTGGAGCGTAAAGTCTGGTGTGTCTTCCCACTGCCTCTGTCAAATGTATATTCAAAAAAATCACAGCTGTTTGATAATCAAAGACTATCTGCTGGAAGACTATGTCTGTAAGTTAACAAGGGAAAAACCTCTTGAGTGGGAGCATCTGTGAGGGAGTGTAACAAATTGTCTAGACTTAATGAGTCTCCAGAGTGGTAGAACAAGTCCCAGTGCTCCTGGTTTAAACACAGGCTCATGCCTCAGAAGCTTCCCAGTCATGTAAGGTGTCTCCAGGGTAGGTGGCTTAAATATAACTGAAGAAAGTACCTGAATGTGCTTTCAGGGAGACAAAATGCAGTGAACCAGAGGAATCCTATTTAAAGTACTGGTGTGGTAGAAGCACAGTGGAGTATTGTTGCAGTTCATGCTGTCTTAGGATATTAGTGAGGCTTTGTTGGGAATAGTCTGATTTCTCCTCTACCTAAAGTTTAGAAATGATGCTAAGAAGCTAGATGGTTACATCATGGGTTATTTTGTATGTATCTGTGAAGAATCAGGATACTTCAGGGAGGAAGGAACTTCTGAAGGTCTTCACTGTCAGTGGAAGATTAATGAAACTGCTTTTGTCACTGTGCTTTTCAAAGTTGAGTTGTAACTACAGCCTGACAAAAAATCCTTATATTTCTGGCTGTTTTCTGTCAGTACAGTGAATGGTTTGGGCATAAACGGTGAGAAAGGTGTCTTTTGGGGGCTGCTGATCATGGATACCCTCTGCAACAGTATGGATTTAGACAAGAACATAATTTCACAACAACCACATACTCTGTTGTGATTATATATGACTTTTATGTTTTAGTTAAATGGATGTACTAATCCAAATTTCAAAGTTACTTCACAAAAACGGTAAGTGTATTTACAGCATGAATAAGTTACACAGTCAGAATAAAAGTATCTCAGGTGTGCAACAGATTTACATGCATACATTTAACACTGGACAGCAGTTAAATGTAAGAAAAAACCCATATAGTTATGACTTTTATATATACATTACAAATAAAATAAGACATCTCTTTAAAGTAACTTAACATGAGAACTTGCATTTCACGTTAATATTTTCACTTTTTATACTCAAAATTTATATTAAATAAAAATATGCATGCTTGACAATCAAATCAAAAAGATTTGACTCTGTGATGGGACTTTCTCCTATAAAATGGCAAGTTAAATTAGATCAACCATCCTTTAATAGTATAAATATATTCATAAAAGCAACCTTCTAGTAAAAAGCAGCCAAGGTCCTTAAAAAAAAAAAAAATCTACCAAGACCATTCATGATCCTTGGGGGGGCCTAAGAACAGACCTCTGCAATATGATCCAGTACCTTCAGAGACAGTAGCCTAGTAACATTAGGAAATGTACTTCATAGCAGCTTGTTGTTTTAAGATACAGTAATCATATTCAAATTACAGTGTACATTAAACTGTAGTCCATTTACAATTTGTTTCATATACACAGGCTCTCAGCTTTTGACCAACAAGTTTGCAAGATTCCGTGGCCAGCTTCATTCTGCCCATCTTTCACTCAACTAAATAAGAGAAAAAAGGAAAAAATGTACAAGGGTTTGTTTTGTTTTTTTTTTAACAAAAAATACTATTTTGTGAAGGAAACATTGCACTTTTACCAACCTAAAATTAATTTGCTATAAAGGAAGTATTGTTCATGTAATAGGCTTTGGTATGCAATGGAAGTCACTTCTTCAGTAGTGAGTTGCAGTTGCTCAGTGAAATGCTAACTGATTTTTGTGCAACACAGAACAGAGGATGTTTTCCTGGGTGCTCTATGCTACCTCTGTCCTTACAGTATTGCTACACATTTGAAGTTCAGCCCATCGCTTTTTAGAAGAAATCCTAAATGTAACAAGAGCGAGTACAGTTTGACCAAACCTTTGTAAGGCTGAGAAGACATTGAGCCACCTCACTCCCACAGGGCAGCACTCCCAGCTTGAAAGAGGACACAAGGGTCCTGTCAGAGACTTGTACCAGAAACGCTGGAGTCTGGAAGAAAAGTATTGATGACCCGGTAACTCTGAGCTCTGCGAATCATGTCGCGGATCTCTATGTTCAGTTCCATTAGTTTGGTACAGATTTCAGTCAGGCTCTGGTTGGAGCCCACCAGTGCATAGGTGCCTGTCTGGCCCAAGGTTTGGTGGCGGAAGTAAATGTTCAGCAGTGTCTGGACTTCATCGTCAGAGCTACTTCCAAAGATATCATTGGGCCACAAAATCCTGCAATGAAACAGGAAAAGAACATGTATCACTATGGGTTTATCAACACAGACAGAAGCTATGTGATAGAGATCTCTAAAAGGGGAATGGACTTGCACACGCTTATAAAACAAAAGCAACTCACTGTTTTACACTACTGTTAGTCAGCCTCTGGTATCAGGCACTGAAATCACATAAAAGCCCAATTCCTATCATGTAAAAAATTGCTTAAGAGAACTCATTCAAATAAGTGGAAGTGAAACTGGACTGAACGTTAGCTGATGTCAGTGACATGCACCTGTAAGGAATTACCTCTATAAAAAGATTCTTAAAAGCCTCACAGCACTTTTGATCTACACAATGTAATTAAACATCTTAATAGTTGCAAGCATACATGTTTGATAGCTACTGGTGACACACCCCTGCAAAAGTTAATATCAATGCCCCCACGTACCTTGTTGAAACATATTAATTAACTATGCTGAATCAGTGCATTACATTTAGTATAAATTTAGGATGATAATAAATGCATAATTTTCTAATAACATGAAAGTCTAACATGAACCATGTAGCAAAACTTGCCTGCATTCTCTTATTTGTCGGATGGCTTTAACAAGTTCATTGTTCTTCAAGCACTCCAGCATGGACTGAATAGCTGCTTCAGTAGAATTGAATGAGGGCTCAGATTCTGTTGTCAGAGGCTCAGCTGCGATTGCAGCAGTAGCATCCTTCAGATTTTTCTTCAGTTCACTCAGTTCTCTTGACATATTTAACAGCTGTTCCAAGGAGAAAGATGAGAGATGGGTATTTTCATTCTCCATAGGCCCCAAAAGGAGTAGATATTTCAAGTATGTTCTTACTACTACATTGAATGCACACATGGAAAAGACCTCATTTTAACACAAGGACATTTCTTGATCTCTGTACATTTTATGGGGAAAACACAAACTACAAATCTTTAAACTTTGTGCTTCCTTTAACCTTATGCTGTAGTTTTGGCTTGCTAAAATGCAAGAGCCCATCTAAACAAGCTTTTATTCTTCACCTCTTCCAATTTTTTTCATATCATAGCAGAAAAGTTTAAGAAATCATACTTCTCCTGGAAGATGTTGTTATCTATTTACAAAACATATGCAGGATCCGATATGATTAACAGATGGACAGGAATTGTATAACCCTTTGTCAGGCTGAAAAGTTAATATGCAACAAGATTAATAAATAATTAATAAGTTAATTAATTTCTAAGGATCTACTTCTTCATGCTCACACATGCTAAAAATAACCACTGTCACATGTACTAACAATGGAACCTCCTTTAAATAATAGCCTATGGCTCCAGCAAAATATGCAAATTTCATGGTGAAACAGCTCCTCATACAATTGTTCCCCAGTTCCACAGGCTGCATTATTTATAAAAATCCAACAAAGTCATAACTGTGTAATACAGTTACAGAAATTAATTATAAGGAACACAAAATATTCTAAAACTTAAGACTATTCTAGTAGTAGTGGACTAGATGCCTACTGTCCTGTCTTCTCTTAAAAGTGAACAGCCCAGTCACATTCTGAGCCAGCCTTCAGAACTTAAGATACAGTAAGTATTCGAATTCTTTGTACTACTACAGCACATAAACCAAACCATTTCCATTTATAGACCATCTCTAAACTACTAGAATCTGTCATAAATATGTCATAGCTTCAAATTTTACTTCACAAAGCAAAATACAGTAACTTATTCTACTCAATAGTTTAAAATACATAAACCTTACTAAGAGAAAAATACATACGGAATGGCAAGTTAAATCTTTCCTTAAATTATGATCATTCAAAGTTATCACCTCAAAGGTATTTCAAAGTATTTCGTATTTTAAGCAATTGCTGAAAATAAAGCTGACAAACAGTATTGTTCTTGTGACATTTTTTTTAAAGTAAGATACATAGATTTATCTAAAAACAAAAGGCTATTTGGGTCAAAAGTGAGTGTGCTGTGTCAAAAATATTTGAAGAAAAAAGCTTGTAAACATAACAGAATTAGAAAGACATGACATTAATGTACTAAGTTGATTATGTATGCCTGCAGACATAATAGTGAAATAGTGTAATCTTTGGTGCTACGTTCATAGAAGGAAAAATAAGAACATGCAAATAAAGTGGAATTTTCAGTATAAGACTTTGTAATTTGTTACATACCTCTGGCATGGAACTCACTTCGTGCACTTGTCCAATAAGTTTACAGTAGGACTGAAAAAGCAACAGCAGCTGGAAGTGCAGTTTATATAATCTCTGACAGAGTTCCAATTGCTAAGGAAAGATTTGTAGGAGAAGAAATAATTAATAAATATTAGTGAGTTTAGGTAATTTTCGATAACTAACAAAACACATATAGTTCTGTTCTTAAAAACCATTATTTCACTTAAGTATGATCCTATACTATTTCAGAAAATAAGTAATGATTTTTCTTCTGCAGGTAAGTCAAATATGACATTGAAAATTAAAATTATGATGACTAGCTTTCATGTAGCACATGTCAGCATCAGTCTTAAAACATATTTGTTAGCTTCACTGTCTCCAGTTTGCAGCTGGAAAGCAGAGGCAGAATACAGAGGAAGTGACTT